TGTTTCTTTTTTTTCCTACTGGTTTTGATGATGCAGTGTAATGGAGGTTAATGGGACCATCCCATTCAGTTTCACAGTGCTTGGATAAGGAAAATAGGAATTCTATTCACACTCTATTTTCTATTCTATAAACCCCACTTTTAAATATACTTTAAATTCAAAACTCAATTTTTTATTTTTACTAAATTTACCTCCACCATTCACTTTCTATTTTTCATTCCTACCTTTTCTCCCTTCTCTCTTCTCTTTTCACTTACTAAAATTGAGTTTCTTAAAAATAGATATCCGATAAGTTTTAAGGCATTTCGGGTATTCATTTTTGAGAAATCTTAAGTATTCTAGAAAATCTATTTTTGAAAAACCTTAAAAGTTTTTAGATATTCATTTTTTAGAAACTCGATTTCACTTTTAATCATGCGCTTATGAACCAATTTACTTGATCATATGTACAAATGAAACTAAAATAGATATTTTCAAACATGCATGACACAAACTTGTTCTTTTTCTTGAGACTCTAGAAACCTAAAAATGCCATTTTTTGGTTTTGCATAGGTAAAAAGGTGTTCTTGGCTTTTTGGTCTCAAGATAAAAACATTTTTATGCCCATGCGTGCTTGAGAGCCAACAAGTCTATTCCATTCGTACATATGATCAAGTATAAGCATATCGATAACTTATGTGTGTGCATGCATGCTAATTCGATCTCGAACACCTTATAAAACATTAACCTTGACAATATCATTAGTAAATTAGCAAATTTAGCAGCAAGGACCTTTAATTTTTTGGCCAATAAGGTACTGATAGCCTAAAGATTAGAGATCTTTAATGTCAAAATTGAGCCATACATTAGAGAAATCATTAGAGACGTTTAGAGATCTTAGCACATTAAGAGATTAATTTATTTTAGTATTATTTATTTTCAAATTAAATGCATTTATTTTATTTTAAATTAAAATTAAACGTTATCAAGAGTTTATAATTAAATAATATTTAAATAAAAATATATGTATTTTCAAAAATAAATTGTTAAGAATACAATATGACTCTCGAAAATCTATTTTCGAGAATGCAATATAATTTTTTGAAATTAATTTCTGAGAGTTGTATTGCATTCTCAGAAATGGAGTTCTAAGAGTCATATTGTATTCTCGAAAATAAATTTTTGAGAGAGATTTATGAAGGTGGTTTTGGGGTGTATAAGCTATTGAGGGTATTTTTATTATTTATTAAAAGTTAAAATTGGTATTTGCTATATGGGTATTTTGAAAGAAAATTTTAGGAGTGTATAAAAAAAATTTTGTGATATATTTAGAAGCACCCTTAGGACAAGGAAAAGAAAAAGACTATTTACACCCTTATTTTCCCTCTTTACACCCTACTACTATTAACACCAATTCCTTCTTCTTTTCACACCTTAAACCAAAACACTAATTTTCTAAAAAAACAAAACACCTTACACCTCCTATTTTTTCCTTCATCAAAACCCTAAACCCTTTAGGGATTTAGCCTCAAATCAAGCCTTAATCTTGATTTTGATGTTAGATAACTTAGAATCATAAGTAAATCGTTTGTTTTTTTTTTTTCTATTTTTCTATTTTATTTTGTGTTTAGTTTCCAAAAATTTAAGATTTTAAATTTAGGGGTGGGATTTGGGACGATGATTCGATCACTTTGGAAATGAAAATTTGAAAATTGTTGTAGGTTTCTAAAAATGAATGTTCGAAAACTTTTTCAACATATCAAAAATTTATTTTTGGAATCCCTTTTCGGTTATCCAATTTCGAAAACCTTTGAGAATTTATAAAAGTGTTTTCTCAAAATTTTTCAATAGTTTTTGGACATTCATTTTCGGAATCTTTCAAAACTTTCGAAAATAAATTTTCAGTACACAATAACCTTTGGCCATCAATAAAGATTGGATAACTTTTTAGTACAAAAAAATTAACCTCATTATGTCATTAGTAGAATGGCAAATCTTTCAATAAGGACCTCTAATATTTTGGCCACCAGGCATTATAAGTTCAATAATGTTTGCAACATTTTACAATTCTAATAAACGTGCATCTAAAAGGAATTATTAAGTGTGAAAATATGCTCGTGCAAATTGATTACTGCACCATATACAACGGAGCGTGATTGCCTCATTGTGCATGGTACAGTAACCACTTGCACGAGCGCTCTTCACAATTAACGATTCCTTTCAAATGCACATTTATTAGAATTGATAAATATTTTTAACGTTATTGAACAGATAGTGCTTGATTGAAATTAGAGATATTTATTATCGAAATTAAATATCGCATACATTGGAGAAATCATTACAGATTCTTTTGGAGATCATAACAAAAAAACTAAAGTAAAAAATTACTTTCAAAAATGTATTTTTGGATAATTGCAATGTTTTCTAGAAATGCATTTTCGAATAATTGCAATACTTTTTGAAAAATGAATTTTTGGTCTAATTAAGAAGTTTTCAAAAATACTTTTTTGGTACATTGAAAAAGTTTTCAAAAATTTATTTTTGATAACTTATTGAGAAAGAATGTTAAAAACACAAAAACAATTAACTAATAGATATTTAAGTTATTTTTTATTTAATTAATTGTGTGAGATGTATTGAAAAATTTTGGAAGTGCAAATAGTCTTACTCCAAGAAAAATGAGGTTGCTTTTAGGAAGGTACCAAATTTGCCCCCAATTTTCAAATGAGGTTCTTTCTTGTGCTCCATTGATACTAGAGTATTGACTATTTGAAAACCTTGTTGGTCAATTAGGCAGCCAAAATGCCCTCTTTTATAAGCTTAAATTACATATTATAATGCTTCGTACTTTTTTTTTAGCTGTTTCAATGTAGTTTAAGCAAAATTATTTAACAAGGACTATCCATATCAAGAATATCTTTAAGAGTTTTTTAAATCATGAATGTCAACAGTAATTGATTTAAGAATTCGTATACCATTATTTATTTTTTAAGATAAATTTTGTCAAAGAGAATCAATTTAATGATGGCTTACAATTTTCTAAACTTGTATTTTATGACATTGATGATATTAATTAATTATTATATGTAAACTTAGTTGCATATCTGTCATAATGATTTTGGAGCTGCCCGATGAATTTAAAAATAAAATTAAAAAAATAAAAAATGAAATCGTTATTAATCTTTTTTGTTTATGTGTGATTAGTTACCTATTAAAATTTATCATTTTAATAAAATCTTAAAATTTATTAAAAAGATAATTTTAGGGTATACTAAATAGTTTGAGTTTGATAGTCGATTATGCATGGAGAATGATTAGCGCTCTCACAACGCCTGTTTAAAATGGTACAAATTAATTACATGTTATTCATTAATCCTAAGAAAAATAGTTTTAATTTCGATGTTCAAAAAGTAATTTTCTTTACTTCCTTTTTTTTTTTTATCATAGTTTTGGTTTTTCCTTTTATCTTTATTCCATATTTATTGTTCTATTTTTATTCAAGAAAAATAAATTAGAACCTTTTTATTGGAATAATTTTTAAAATGTTTCAGTACGTTGATAATATTAGAAAACTCTTTCTCACCTAAAAATTTTTTAGGTATCATTTATCGAAATATCTTTGAATCTTATCATTAGGGGTTTGTATTTACTTTTTATAAAAATGAACACATGTATGCAATATAAATGACAACATGTTGATGCACACATTTCATTTTTCTTAAAAAAATTTATTAGTTTTTATTTTAATTTTTGAATAAAAGAGAAATTTTTATCATTTTGAAGATTTTTTATAAATACTCTAATACATTGGTGATATTTAAAAAAAATTTTCACATAGAGATTTTGTAAAGCATCTTTATTTGGAATACTTTTAGATTTTTATCATCAGATAAAATTTTTTTGCTCATTTTTTATTATTTTTTTAACAAATTAGTTAATTTTTATTTACTATTTTATAGCAAAAAAAATTTTATTGTATTGAAAACTTTTTATAAAAACTCTAATACATTGGTAGTATTTAAAAAAAAAATCTTTTTACCTAAAAATTTCATAGGTATTACTACTCGGAATACCTTTAAATCTCATCGTCGAATTTCTTTCTTACATTTTTACTAATTTCTTATTAATTTTATTAATTATTTTATTATTATTTTTTTAAATAACAAAAATTTATTCTAACAAACTTAAACATTTTAACTTGCATAAATAACAAAAATAATATTTAAAAATAATTCAAAAAATTCAAAAAAAAAAAACTTTTTACTTGAACCAGACCGATCAATAGTTTAATCAATGCTAGTCAACAGCAGTTCTTTAGTGGTTTAGCAATCAAGCATGGGTTCAAATGAAATGATCAAAGTCAATAGCAAACTTGTTAGGTGCATGGATTTTACGTTGGATCCAGGTCGACGTACAGATCTTCTTGGTCTTAAACGATGTTGTTTTGCAACCTTTTTTTTTTACAACACTATAAAAAACCTAAATATTTTTTATTTCATTTTTTTGGATTTTCTCTCTCCAAGAGAGAGCTTGTCTCTTTAAAACTTAAAGCCTCACCAAAAAAACTTTGTAATTTCAATATTCAGTCGGCCAGTGTCGTGCTGATCGCTATTGTTGATCATTGGTGACCAAAAGAATTTCAAAAAAATCATGTTGATTCTTTTATTCGCCTTAAACATAAATCTGACCCTCATTTTATGAAAAAAAATCTCAATCAACGTAGATTGAGCTTTGAAGTTTCAATCAAATTTTTTTTTTGCTCTGATATCCTTACTACCGGGGGTTGTGTTTTCTTGTGTTTGTGTCTTTTTTTTTTTTGTTTTGGTATTTTTGGTTTTTTTCAAAAAGATTTTTTTTAGATTTGACAGAATTTTTTTTATCTAAGTTTTTTCATTTTTTTGCAAGGTTTTTTCTTTTTATGGGTTCTTTCTTTTTTCCCCTTCTCTTTGATTTCCAGGGAGGAAACTCTATTTATAAAACTTTTTCGTGATTCAAATCTTAGATTTTTTTGATAATGAGATCCCAAATGTTTAAAGGTTTTGCTATTTTTTTCAAAGTCATTGGATTTTTTGTTGGCGGATTCCACGCTGTCAAGTTAGGAATGTGGTATTAGATGATTGGCAATGACTGGGATAGTAGACTTGGGGTGTATGTATTTAATGCACCAAAATTTTTGTCAAAAAGACCAAAAAAAATGAAAAAAAATAATAATAAATGAATGTTTACAATATCTTGTCTCGAGTTATGGAATTAGGTCTTTAATCAACAAAATCATACATTGCAAAAAGGAAAATGGGTAAATTTAATAGGCTGGAAATTCATGTAGCAAGAATGAAACAATCAACAAAGAAAAAGATAGGAAAATGAATGTGAATACGTCTCATGAAAGGCATTTTTTACTTATCTAATAATAGGGCCCATTAAAGGTGTGCTTTTGCGCGCAAATTGCCTCAGGCCCTCAGCCATCGCCTGAAAACAAACAATAGTTTAAGCAAAAATTAAAAAAAAAAAAAAAATCACCGCAAAAATTTAGAAAACTAAGGATACAATTACAGTTTGTTTCAGTTGCGTGCTTTTCCAAAAGATTCTGGTTCTGGGTATCTTTGTCACATTCCTACTAAGGTTCTGTTTCTCTATTTTTTTTATTATATATTAATTATGAAATCCATAGCTTCTTCATTTCTACACTAAATTTTCGCTCTTTATTTCCTTTTGGGTCTTAAGAAAAGAGAAAATCTGATCTTTATAGCTTTATATACTCCATAAGTTGAACGCATAAATTGATTCTATAATTTGATTTGCATAAGTTGAACTCATGTCATATTTTTGAAAAATCACTTTGGGTTTTTCATTTTTAACTCTCATTGCTGTTCATTAGCTGTAAAGTGAAGAATCAAAAAAAAAAAAATTTTGTTGGGGGGAGGGGGCAGATTACATTAAAATTTCCCTTGCTTTTTAAATGCTGCATTTGTGGGGGTTTAAGGAGGATTCCAAGTTAAGGTAATTCCCATAACGTTGACGGATTCTCTTTTCGTTTGTCAGCTATTACTATCTTCTTCCTTTATTTAAAATCATTTACCTTGTTGGACATTAGGGTGCTATTCTCTTTACTCTTGATATATGCAATTATAGATATTCTGTGATTGTGATGCGATAACATTATGGCCTTCAGGGAACAGTATGGATGTAAAATACTCTTTGTAACTCTTATAGTTTTTATATTGTGCTTTTAAAGTCAAATTAGTCATCAATAGTTCAATGCTTATATGAATTTATGTATGTATAAAACCATAACTGTTTTATATTAAGGCATGTATGCATGTCCACAAATTGTTGGATGTTAAGTTCAAGGAAAGTTAGAATTGGCTTTTGCAATTTTCCAGACAGGTAGAGTTGGGATTGTGTGAGGAGAACTCTCGACATGGACCATTTTGGAGTGCAACTTTGGTGGAAATCAAAGTAACAAACTAGAATTCACTAACGAAGAGAATTATATGTGGAGAAGTTTTTTGATTATTCCTTATTATAACTATTGTGTTTCTGGTATTAGTTCATTAATTTGCGTTGTTGAAGTAAAGTGTGATACTTTTCTTTAAGTTCAATATTCTTAAGGATATGATAAATGAACAAACCAGTGGTGGTGATGGAACAGCATCAGCTAACATCAGCAATGGAAATCAGTGAGGCCATAGAATTAGGGGCTTTTTGATGGCTTGAACAATTTTTAGAATGATTGTCAACATTATGTTATTGGGATTTTGTACTTGAATGTCGTTGAGCTCCGAGTTGACATCACAAGTGATTGAAACTCTTTAACATTAGTAGATTTGTTCTACTTCCAATTACCTTTTTCCGTATAGAAAAGTTATGTTTTTTACAGGATCCTTTGCTAGTTACATAAACTAACAACTAAACTATAGAACTGAGATGTTTATGCTTAGCTTATTGTTGGAAATCAATCTATTGTGATGCCGATGGTGTGTATCAGTACAAAACCCACACAAGCTAAGTGAGAGTATTGGGCAGCAAAGGCCAAACCTGTTGATAATGTATTTGTTACTAGGTATACCAACTCATAGCAATGTTCTTAGAGGTTAAGTTCCAAAATATATATTGCTTTTCATGCAGATATGCATTTTGAAACATTAGTTTTTCATCCTTTTTATTCAATTTTTGTGCTCTATAAAATGCATGCTTGTAGTTACTGGTTTAGCTTTTAGTACAACCATCATAAATTAATGATCCACTTTGGCAGTGAGTTCATTGGCAATGTGGTATGCTTTTTCTTTTAGATACTTTTTTTGACAAGCAATGCTGTATTCATTTATCACAAAAAAAGATTTCAAGTTCTAGATAGATTTCTTTGCAAATCTCTTTTTCTGGAAAATGTTTTAGGTGCTACATAGAGCATCTTATTTTGATTTTCTAAGTAGTATATGCTGAAGTTAGGTCTTTGATTTCGGAAATTTTACTTGTAGTGCTCTAATTAGAAAATTTTAAACCTTAAATTGGAATCCTAGATCAAGTGAACTAATTATAGAGGATCATGCTTTCATCATAATCTACTTTCCTGCTTGTTGGAGTCTGCCAACGTACAATCTGGGCCAACTGATCAGAGATAAGGATGGAAGGGGATGGTTAATGGAGATGAGATAGGAAGAGGATCTGCCTTGTGGCAAGCTATGGTCTTGATTTGTTTGGCTGTGAGTGAGAATGTTGCAATGCAATTCCAGAAATGAGTATGCTGAATCTATTGTCAGTAACTTGCCTAAGCTTTTTTGGTAAGGACTGTGGTTACCAGATATGGTGTCATAGCCGATGGAAATGCCCAACCTAGTCCATATAGATTTTTGCTACTGTAGTTTGGTGGCATTGAAGAAGCTGACTTTGGGGTTGAATATCAATGACCTAGTGACTAGAGGATAGTAGACATACAACCAGAAGAATGAGTTTTGTTCATAAGCATTCAAAATAATATGATAGCTTGTCTTGGCAGAATATATGGCTGCAACTTAGTGGAAAATGAGATACACACTGCTTATCCCAGTCTGTAAGATCACTTTAAAACCATCAAAGAGATGGACCAAACTTAATAATACTTAGTGGAGATGGCTGTATGAAATACTTTGAGAACTTTGGTTACAAGGGAAATTTGAGAAAACTTTGACAAGGGGAAACCAAAATAACATTGCTACTTTATAAAATTCATTGTACACTGAATGGAAAATTGGCACTTAAGGGACTTTGCAGTTGCAACAAATAATTGAAATGAGATATGTGGATGGACCAAATTTAAGAATCCATCATCAGGTTTCTTCATTCTTGTTGCTAGTTAAACTGCCAAAAGAATCCTTTAGGCTAAGCCAATTCTAGAATTACTTTGGTGTATGTGGTAGTTTAGTAGCATTAATTGCTTTTAATGTGGCATAGCTTTTGAGTACATCTTCAAGGCAGATTAGACACATCATTTACTTCATAAGAACAAGCTTCTCATGTGCTACGTTACTGTATGCTCCCAAATAATATCTTCTACAAGAAAAATATAATACTAAGTATCATACTATATGGAGCAAAAGTGAATTATAGATATTCAAGCAAGGGATAATGTTTTGGAGGATTTTGCAAGATTCCAATTTACTGGTACATGGATACAATGAAGTAACGTTGCTAGTGAATTAGGAATCTGAATAAAGCTCTACTTAGGAAGATATAAGTTATGGAACATTCATTCTTAAGAAGCCTATTATACCTTAGATATTATTGTTCTTTTTGGGAACTATCTGCAACTTTAATCCTAGATGGCATGAAGATAATTTGTGGCAATGCTTTTGGCTTGAGAGATGTTTTTGATTGTGAGTGTCTAGTATCTAGTAACCTTACATACCTTCTTCAGTTAGGAATCTCACTTCCACTTTATAAAAAGTGGTATACAAGATTCTCAATTAATTAAAGATCATATTAATTTGTTATTTTGAAGAGAAATATATTTACCAAAAAAATCGTAAATCACAGACTTACTACAAATCTTGTAAGCTGGTTTCATGTAAGATATTAAAGATGTTTAGGTATCCCATTCCCAAACATCATTTATCTAGGAATAGGATGCACAAAAATAATTTTCAATATCCCAAACAAACATGCCTTTTTCTTTATTTAACAAAAATAATTCAATACTTGGGTACTTTCTATATATGCAACAGATTCTGTTTCATAAAAAAAGAAAAAAAATCTGACTTATATTGAACTAGGTTCAATCTAGTGCTCTTTCCTAAGAACCAAAAGGCTATTTTTTAGCATGGGGTACAGAAATGCAATAGACAGGCTTTTTGCTTTTGTGCTACAAGACTTATTGATGTTGAATGGTGATGAGTTGAATTTAATATGCAAGTTTGAGAAAGATCTATGCTGTCATTCATGTCCATGTCATAGTACAATTTCTGTCTCACATGATTTCTTTAACTTTGAGATGTTTTGCTTGAGGTGCTTTGCTGAACATCAGCCAACATTAACTGATGTAGAAAATTATTGTATAAATTTGAATGCTAAGGTGCAGCTGTAGCAAGACCAAGATAGAAAGAGGTTAACCAATTTAGCCCTTAGAAAGTGAATTCCTGGAAGAGCCATTGGTTGGCAAGTATTTCCACAAAAGTAGACCTGGAACTTATTTTCTTGGCATAGTTGACTGCAGTGTCAGAGGAGTATCAGTCTCAAAAACTGGCAGATATCTGTTGAACTGCTATTACCTAAACTTAGTAGCTTAAATGCAGAAGTGCATGAAATTTATAAAAGCATTGGCTGCTCCTGGTTAATTATAGGGATTATATCGGCCTCAAAATAAACAATGAGGATTGAGGAATCTATGTGTAAATGAGGCGAAGGAGAAGCAATGATGCTGAATGTATGGCAGACCAGAAATTGATATTTTGAGGGCCCGAGGATCAGGTTGGAGCTTGTGAAAAAATAAGCTTGAGTAGGGACTGAATTTTTAGCTATCGAACAATGACCTCCACAAATCTTTCCACTTTACATGGCTGAACTTTGTTCTTGCATATCTTTTCCTTTGTGAAAAGCGCAAAGTGCAATCTGCTTTTTCTATAAGGTTCTACTGTCAGTGCACACTTCACTTCCGAATTTTACCCTTGCTCTTTTCTATTTTTAGCATGTGTGAACACATGGGAGAAATGTCTCACCTGTTCAAGAGCTGAAGAGTATTTATTGTTGGTTGAGAGGCTGTAACATTAATCCAACATAGAAAAATCTGTGAAAATTTAATTGACCTACTAAGTTTTGCTACTTTTCTTAGTGCATGCTGTGATTCAACTTGTGTTTATTTGAAGGATATGATAACGAAAATTTTAGTAGTATTAGGACATCCACTTCATATTTTTGTTGATGACAGATATTTTGACATATATTTAACCATGTGGATATCTTTGGTGGCAAGATATTTGTGAACAAATAAAGCTGAAGCTAAAGCCAATGCTTGCTTAGTAGAGAAATTGACAAAAGATGCACAACTTCAACCGACAGAACCGTAGCCTGCTCAAGGTAGAATACTACAAATTGTATGTTGAGAGGGTACCACTGTTGCGAGTAAAGTGGTAACTGCCTTCACAATGTTATATGTTTCTTTACATGTGGCTGAACTTTGTTTCCTGTATGCATATCCCATGGAAAGTGAAAAAAGCACAGCATCATTTATTAATGATTACTAAGAGCCTAACTTTCTTTTGTTGAGTAGTTCCTTGATGTTGGCTTCTCATTCTACTCAATACCAACACCCCCAACACCTTCAATGAAGGCTGGATCATTAGCAAATTGGAATTTTGCCGGAAATGCTGACTGTGTGAAAAAAAAAAAAAATCTCTTATACTTTACAAATGGCATTGCAGAAATGGATATTTCAAACCTCTTGGATCAAGGAGGGCCGCAACTTTAAAGTAAAAAGGCTCAACAAGGGCTGATGATATTCACAGAATGCAACAGGTATGATCCATTGCAGCCATGATTTAAGGTCCTCCAGTAACCCTTTAATCTTCACTCTGCTGTAATGTTGTCTTTTTTTTTTTTTTTTTCATTTGTACATGACAAGAAAAGGAGAATTCTACTTTCTTAGAACTTTTAATATTTCATAGTATATATGCCATTTTGGAGGAGGTGGTAACTTTTCCGCCCTTGTCCCATCTACATGTTAGAAGTTGTTAACTTCGCAAGATGGTGCCTACATGATCATTACCATGAATATTGGCATGAAAATGATAATAATTCTGTATACATTAACCCTTTTCTAGAATGATTGTCTTGGTCCAATTTTTCTCTAAACACTGTAACAAGCAGAGCTAGAAAGGCCAAAAAGTTCAGTATTTGCTTCTGTTGTCTGAAATCTTGCTTTTATAACTTTTAATCCAATTTCCAAGGTGTGCAATATCAATCATACGGTATGGATGTGTAGCAAACCTAAAGCTTTTTAAATGTAAACTTCCTAGTCGTAAGGAAGGATGAATTGCCACAAGCTTTATACTGTTCTGAAATATTGGTCAGTGAAACCAAGGAATCTCAGTCTGTGATGTACATTTGTCTAGAAAAAAGCCATCTAAATATTCTATTAGAGGCATCAGTAGATGCTTTCATATTTTTACTAATTTAAGGTAAAAGGAATATGATGATTGGTCTTATTAATGAACAAGGGAATTTTCCTGTAATCTTTAGTTTGATCCATGATGATAAGCAAATTATCTACAGGTTACGTCCAATCCGGTGGGGGAATATATATGGCTGGACTTATATGATATTGCCTTTCTGACCGGTGGAACTTTCCTCAAAAAGCCAAGATTCTTCTGTATTAAAGCTAAACCTTTTTTTTTATGGAAACACTTCAATTTCTGACCTGTCTTTAATGTTGTTTTAATAGCTATCTCAGTTTCCTCTACCCTAATGGATGGATTAAATGATATTATTAAGTTTGCATTAGGCATCAATGAGTCACTTGTTTAGTAGTTTAACATGAGTACATTATGGTTAAACCGTGTGAGCAAGAGGAATAGCAGTGGAACATGCTGCTTTCATTCCAATATTTTTCTTATCTCTGTATCTCTTTCACTGTCATAACCAAAGTACCCTTTTATTTGTGACTTCACTCAATGCTGCTTTTTAACTTAAATTAATATCTCTATCTATTTGTGGTATGATTTATGAATTACATGATTATCCAAGAAAAGGGGAAAAAATTGCAGAACCAAGTTGCGTTTTCCATTTTGAACAGAGATACTCTTCTGCTTATCTAACGTGGTGAACAAGGAATCTTCAGCCAGAGAAAAAGAATGGGGCTAGCCAAAGGACTGCTCTTTATGAATAATGTTGCAATAAGACGCTGACCAGAATTTTGTTATTGGATCCACTCATCATTCACCATCTTCTTGCTGAACTTTGCTCTTTTTTCTCCCAGAAAAGGTATCATAGTGAATTCTCTTTTCTTAAAAGGTCAGTAGTAGGCCATCCATTTAGTATTGCAAGTCTTTGATTTTTTATTTCTTTCATATCAACTTAATATTTGAAACTATAACAAAAGGTGGAACACCAAGAAAGGGATATTTGTAATTGCAAAGAATTAAATTTCAAAATTATAGATATACATGCATTTACAAGATAGTAGTAGCATGATCTAGACAATCGTCAAAATTACTAAACATATACTATCTAATTGATTCAGACCAAGTAGATTGAGAAAGATACAGTATCAGCATTAGAGCTTTGCAATTAACTCGTACACTTCTCATCTAATGACTGCATTTAGAATGAAGGGACAATGCCATATCCAGTTTCTGTCATAGTGTTGTGGAGAACATCTGGTCCACTTCAACTTCCACGTGTTCTCTTTGCAAACCGACCCTTGATCCGAGGTCTTGTTTCTGCATAAGCCTTCCTTGAAGCATACCTTATTGTCTTTTCAAACTTTCTTGTCTTCTTCTTCTCTCTGTATCTCAGGACCCTGGCCTTCCTGTCCATTGGTGTAAGCTGGGGTGGCATCTGAATGGGAGGTCCAGAGAAGAGGTTAATTGTACCTTTAGGCGGCCTTGTGTGCAAGATTGAGATGTCACTCATAGTTGATTCTGGCACAACGCTAACATCAACAGAGGAAAGGGATACCTAGCATGGTTCAGGAAAGTTAGAAACATTATTTAATTTAGGGTTAATTTGATGAAAAGCCCCTTAATTATAGTGAATAGTCAATATGATACTTAAACTTTAAAAGATCTCTAATGTGGTACTTGAACTATAAATTTGTTAACTAATGTGGTATGCATTCCTAACATGGTTAGCTTTAAATGATGATACATCGCAAACAAAAAACCCTCTAAATACGAAATTAGTTGATAGATTCATAGTTTAAGTATCACATTAGAGATTTCTAAAATTCAGAAAATGCATTGAAAATTTTATTATAATTCAGGAGCCATTTGTAATATTAACCCTTTAATTTACAAACTAGATAGGATTTATCATATATGCAATGTGCAATTCTGAGATGAAGCTGAAAGAGAAAGCAATGCGTGTCAGACTGTCAGGAAAATAGAACCATTTATCATTACAATATTTTCACAATCACTGGAAAATACAAGCACAATCTTCATATTTTTTTGTTTTTCATAATATAAATCAAAAGCAGCTTAGTAGAAGGATTTATGACAGTTTTGAGTTAGAAAATTTCCTAGTCTAGGTAGACCTTCTTAGCTTAAGAAGTGAACATGAAACGATAAATTCTACATTTAATGAATATATGATCTCTATAACATTTTCTGGAAAGAAATTTTAATTCATCTGTCAAACCATCTACGAAGAAACATGTATGAATGCCATATCATTTAAAAGAAATTTGCATGGTTTTATCCAAATATTAGGGAACAAAACTTTTAGACTCAAAACAAACTTTCCAAGTTCTTTTTCTTTCCTTTGTGGCTTCACCATGAAGGAAAAGGGCTTTCTTCACAAGTCTTACTGAAAATTTTTATTGTTGACTATTAGGAGCTTAAAACAGAGTTTAAGTTTTGAGTACAAGATAAATGATTTCAGATTCAATTTTTTTATCAGTAAAACTTGATTTCGAACTAAGCTAAACAGATGCAGCTTTCCTGTTAATATAAACCATTATTATGTCAAATATCTGACCTGGAACATACGGGTAAAAGAAAAAAAAAGTGTCAAGATATTTATCCATTTGATTCTGCTCTTTATGGAAGAAAGGTAAACTAAAGAAGAATAAGGTAATAAAGTTCAGAACAAAAAAAAAAAAAACAGAAAAAAAAATCCTTAGATTTTAATTTGTAGAAGATAAGATATGTTTTGGATCCTCTACCTCAGCAAACATAACATAGAATGAAGAGCAATTCCTTCAAATTGTACACAAAGATGACAGAATTTTAGAGATTTGGGAACTAGCTTCACCAGGGTTAGTCATGTTTCCTGTACTCATGAAACAACAATGGAAAAAGACCTTTAAAAGCTAGCAGAATAAGCAAGAAAACTCCCAAGTATAAAATAATTACATCTTTGTAGAGAATGTGGCATGGTTAATTTCACAAAAGTAATTATTGTAGTAACCTCTATAAGAGCTCAAAAAACATATTCAAGATTTCCAAAACTACTAGTTGTGAGAATTCCATGTTTAAGCTGATAAAAGCAGGCTATGAATGAAAATCTTCTAGGTTGGGGAAGTAAATTCTATCACCGGGCTTGTATACCACATGTATCAAAAACTTCAATCTGAAATCACTTCTTATGTTCAATAGTTTGAACCATCCTAGCAAGTTGTTTTTGGCAAGTAAACTTACATTGTGACTAATGGAACCATTGTAGCTGTATGCAGCTTTTGAGGAATCATAATCCAGGTCATAGTGAAAACTCTGATGTTGCAGGTGCTGCAAGTGATCTTTGGCTTCTCCAGACTGAACTGGTACAACACTATCACCCCTATAACTCTTGTGTGGAACACCATAATGTTGTTGCTGGTTATACTGATCAGTGAATTGATTGTCAACACTTGAATTATATTCCACAAGATCCAGATACTCATCAACCTCCCCATTGAACAAGAACCCGTTATTCTGGTTGGTGCTATTTTTCCCGGGATTCAGCAGTAACCATGAAGCTGCCTCATCCTCGTCCTCCTCTGCAATTGTCTCATCTCCCTCCGTTGGCATAAAACCATCTTCAGTTCCAGTTGCTGATGCCATTTTTCGTCCACTTTGATCGGTGGCCGAGGGGCCATATATGCACCCTGAAATTGGAAGAATTGGGACACGTTGGTGGCGACGTGCTAGTGAATTGGCAGAGTGAATTTCAGCATCACATGTAGTGCATAAGGATGCAGCGTCTGCCTTGCACAAGAAGGCGGCAGGAGCACGCTCACATGCCTCACACACCCACACACGTTCATGGCGCGAGGCTAGCCGGTTTGCAGCATGCACACGGGCATCACATCCGTCACAGAGGTAGGCAGAGTCTGCTCGACAGTACACTGTACAGGCTGCAGAGCGGCATGTGTCGCACACACGTGCCCAATTGTTGCTACCGGCATCAACACCACATGCATCGCTTGTCTCCTCTTTCAACATCTCTCGCACACAAGCTTTGAAAATTCAGCCAACTTTTGAGTGTGAGCACAGTGAGGAGGTCTCACTGTATGGAAAACCCCAGCGGGGAGGAGAGAATCCATGTCAACAAGTTAGTGGCTGCAAAAAGTCGTTACATATCTTGTGGCTACCTTAGTTTTGGGGTGGGCCCGGGACCCAAGGCGTCTGCTTAGGCTTTTGGAATGTAAGGAAGTTGTGAGCTACTTATTGGAGTGAAGGAAAAGATTGTACTCGCCATTTTGGGTGATGACACTTGGCTATCAAGCGTGGCTTCTGGGTCCACTGTTAAATTGCTAAGATTCTGTATTGAAACAGTCTTTGAGACATGTGAGCACGACCTGATCATGTATCAGGTTTTTGTCTTCCTGGGATTTTGCTGTGTTGGGTGAAACAGGTTACTAATCCCTTTTCGTTTTCAATGGAAGAACACTACTCAGTAGTCTTAGTCTGCATTTCCAGCAATCTTGTTCTTTGATTATTAGATGCACAATGGTTCTTTTCAGTCTCTGTTATTGATGAATCTCTCCACAAACCTGTTTCTCGTTCATGGTGAGTGATCAAAATCTGTCATGAGAGTTTGAAATACAGACGTATAACTGCCACGCTAATTTGATGAGCATTAATGACTGTTGCTGTCATTTAACCGTATAAGCTAACCTCATTCACATGCATGCATTCACAGGAAACTGTAAGAAAGGGTGTAAAGAAATTAAGCACTTTATTCTCTGCCTTCTTGTCAAGCAAAAATTATCAAAACTCCGTCGTCGTCAGATTAATCAAATACTGAATGATTAAAAGTTTAAATTTTCTCTACTTTGATAAAACAAACATGCTGTATAATTCAATTGATGGTTAGAAATCAAGGGTTCGTTTACACAATCACACTAACTTCGCTTTAATTGCAGTAATTGAAGTGGTCCAAACCACAAGAAGACATGTCTTTGCTGACTTGTATTTCAGTCTGGGTTCTTGTCAGAACAGTCCTTACATGGATATAAATCAGCATCTTTCACCTGTGACACAGATGCTGACTAGGAAAACCGTAGAGAAATTCATCCAACCAATGAAAAACCGCCAGATGGAAGGCTACTAGATTAGGATGCACCTACACCACAAATTTTGGGACAGTAGAGTGCTGAGCTGATCCCCTCAATTGGTCTCTTGGTTC